TCCTCTGCGTATTCTTTCACCTCACTACCACAGCGTTCGTACGAATCTAGAGATGTGAGCCTTGTGCGAGGTGTCTATAACGTCACGCTCACGAACCTTGTTGTTTGAGACCATAGAAGAACGTAAATTCGGTAGATGCCATGACGTCAAAGCGTGCTTCCGTTGCCCGAGCGTCGAGACCTTCCTGTTGGGAGAATCGGGTGCCCCGTTCGGACACCTACGCAAACGATAGGTGATGCTGAAGCTGATTCGTGAGCCTGCCGTTCAGCCTGATGGCATGGTGGATTTTCATGGGACGGTCCCAAGGGAGGCCTTTTGGCACGACGACTCTCTTTATGTAGAGTCCCGAGATCGATACCAAAGCTGAAGAAAGCTGTATGCCGCCAGCAACGCGATGATCAAGAACTACTCCTCATGCCAGGCCAATATAAATTGGATGCTGTGACAAAAACCTGGTAGTCACCAGCCATTCCACATCAACTACCTGTGAGGCTGCTTGGGACATGAGGACAAGCCCGGGGGCAACGAACGATCAAACCGTCAGCAGAGAGAGCAGCGTGGCCGGTGCGTGCACAGCGTTTCGCCTGCGCTGTGCCCATTGCTCGAGAACTAGGAGGCCTTCACAAAATGCAACTTCGCTATTCGTCGCCTTCCGGGGACATCGTTCGCGCGTGTGTGGCGCTGTAATTGGCTGCCTGAATCCAACCTTGTACCCTCACGCAGGGTGGGCGCCTGCAGCCGCCGGAGAGCGTCGACCTTCCGACGGTCAAGGTATGCTCGCCCTTGATGGCTAGGGACGATTTTACGAACACCTCCAGAAACCCACCCTCACGGACCTGACTGCCCAATGCAGACGAGGCACGCCCAGCCAAGTTGCTCATATCTCCGCATGGGGACCCCAGCGCGCTGGTACACAGCCAAGGGATGGCTTTCACACGACTCGAGGAGGTACACAGACGAGACTCTGTTGGCGAGATGGCGTCGGGTGTCCCATGCCCCTGCACCATGCGGCGACAAGGATGGAGAGAGCACACCCACAGGATCTCTCGCAGTGAATCGAAGAGCAGGGGTGTAGGCACGCCTTCCCGGTCCGAATGCCTGCCAGCCACGAACATGGGTACATTACCCAGTAAAAGGGGGCGTGCCTGGCTTTCTTCCTGAGCAACCATTGGCTTTGTTCCCACGCCCCGCTAGATCTTCAGCCTCCGTGGATGGTGAGCCACGGAGCGACCAATCACAATGGGCCCTGCGAACGGCCACAGCCCGTCGGTGGATGCGCCAATACGAACTCATACCCTTGTTCAAATACCAGGCGCAAACAAACCAAACGATCTGCCAGTTGCTTCCCGTTTTGACCGGTGTGGGCACTCAAGCACAGCGGTCAATGGAATGCATGGCTACCATGTCCACGTCGACTGCTGCAGCCTCGTCGCCACAGGGCAGCTGCGCTTGAGAAGTTGGCCCTTCGTCCGGGTACCTGCGGTTCGCAAAGATACACCCTGTAGCGCAATGACTCAGCTACATTGAATGGTCTCGCTGGGCGTTTGGTCAGAGTTCTGAACCCACTTCAGCTACAGGTGTCTTGATCGCTTCCTTCGAGCAGAGTTACGGTTGAGTCTGCAAGATTGTGTGACGGAAGCGCCACCTCTGGTAGAAGCTGGCATTCTTTTCCAACGGCCAGGACGACAGCACGCCGAGGTGTCGCTGCGCATCGCAATAGCCCATCGTCAGTGCTGTCGTTGACTCGCCTTCGCTGTAGTCAAAACAGGCGTAGCCGTTGCTGGTGGGCCCAATCATCAGACGACTGGATGCCACGCGACTACACGCTAACCTTATCGAATGTGGCATACAGGCCAATGCGGCCGTGTCAGAGCGTCCGCTTGCTGCAGCCCTTCGACTGGGGTGCTGCACACGGATCCAGATCCGTTCATCCCGTGGCGTTCCACCAGGGAGCAGGTGTCTGTATAGTGTACATGCACCATGCTCGGTGATGCAGGGGACGTCAGCGGCCGCCACGTCTGGGCTAACCAGCGCACGCCCCTACCCCGGCGCTGTCTGCATGGAGGGTAAGTAGCACACGCCCCAATCGCCCTCGCGTAACGCCCCCCTTCACCCAGACGCAGGGACCAGGTTCCGGCCGCGGCGCTGGCCCGGCTTCCGCACCACCGGCGTGGGGCCGTCTAACCCCGCCGCGCCAGGAAAGTCCTGGGACGTCATGCTCACCGGAGTGTGGTCGCGCGCCGAAAGCGCAGGCCATCACTCCGCAGGTCCCCGCCGTATCTCTTGGTGCTGTCTTTTGTACGAGCCCGTCACTGGTATTAGTATTCGAGCGTACGGCCTTCACGATGTAATGTGCAGTGTATCGAATAGTAAACGCTCCTTCCTTTGATGCCATGTCT